TAGCTAATTACAGTCATTTTTACATGTAACCTCTATGTGAAAAAAAAAAAAAAAAAAGTTGTTTACGTGTTTTTGTTTAAACGGTTTAAACTGACCCCAAAACGAAACCATGTATTGGTAGTAGCGCTCCTTTTAGCGTTCCAAATAAGTCTCCCAAGGCGCAGGAAGCGACTCGTGGTTGCGCAAAGTTATTTAAAGACAAAAACGTGGGTGCTCTTGCGGTTGAAAAAAAGAAAAAAAGAAAGCTAGAAGAGAACGAACGAAAAACGTAGCAACCGTAGCGAGGGCCACCGGCTGCTGAACACTTTCAAGCAGCTCTTGGTAGAAAGGAGAAAACGCGCTTTCGTTTTCTACCGCTAGACAGTGCTGCGGCGCCGCTGCGCAGAATGCTGCGCAGAACTGTCTCGTCTCGTGGTCCGTATCATGGCGGCCTCGAACCGTGAGCTCTGGAGGATCCGCTAACGCGTGAAAAATTAAAACAAAGTCTAGCATCACCGTAACATTTTTTTTTTTATTTTAGTGCATCTTCGAGTGCTTATCAAAAATAATACCAATGTTGAAACAGCTGCAGATGGGACTTCGCGCCTTCCTCTTAGTGGCCTCGAAGATATGGAGTTTTATATGTTATGTTATTAGAAAGCAAGTCCGTGCGGTAAGTGTTGTCCATGCCTCTTTTCGAAAAAAATCGGTCATTCAAACTGTCGACAGCGCTTTAGCAATCGGCTGCCGGGCCGCGGGCAGTCGTCTATCGACACCACGTCGAGCTTCCGAAGCTCGTCTCTCGCCAGCCGTCTTTGTTTCAAATGCGATGCCCTTTCCCGTACTAGCTACACCGCTTTGGGACATGGAACCTTCAAGGGATTACTCGCTTCAGCTAGCATCCACTGGACACAACGCTTTCTTTCGCGATGCTGCCTCTTTTTACGCGTGCCCTGCTGTATCGCAACGCGCAAAGCCGAAAGGGAAAAAACAAATTAAAAATCCTGTTTTTTCGTTTCTCGCTTGAGCACCGTCGTTTGCATTGATTTTTTGAGTAACTCGAGCGAGAGATCGCCCCACTTTCTCCGCTCGCTTTTCAAGTTCACACCTTTTTTTTTTACTTTATTGTTTTTCGGTTCGTGCTTTGCGATCCCAGTTGTGCCGATGCAGTTGTTCGAGAGGAGTTCAGTTTTGTTGCCGGAATTTCATTGTCAGCCCTAGAAAACGAAAACCGGCACCGGAAAGGGGATAAAAACAGAGTGTGCTCCGATCTTTTCTAATACACATATTCATGTTTAGGACCGCAACAGCCTAGTACCTTAAAAGAAGCAAAAAGAAAAACATAAATGACGCGAAAAAGTGAGCGATAACACTGTAGGTGTAGTACGTTTACTCAATGTGACAATGGATAAGGATGATTGGTTGCTCGATAGATAAGCTGACTCTGGAGCATAGAGTTATTAAAATGTACGCTAGAGGTTCCACCGGTGCTAGTGTCTATGCGACTTCCGGAAGGCAAATTGAAGCAGACAGCAACCAGTCTATTTTTGCGGTGCTCCTGTGCATATTGTCTCTTTGCCGGAAAGTTACATAGATAACTTGTTATTTGAGTCGTACCGAATAGTATGTACCTTTATTAACATTGTAAAAGTGTAATTGCTTTAGTTAGCACATTTTTCTTCATCGGGCAACAATGTTTAGCTTCGCTATATTTTAGGCCCAAACCTCTATTCCACATAAAGCGATGATTCTAAGCAAAATAACAATCGAAATGAATATGGAGTGTGTTCAAGGCTTGCCAGCATTCTGGTGATGCTTATATATTGCTAATATGCCAGTCCTGTCACTATATGAAAATGACCCCATCTTGCATCTCTATGAGCAGTTAAAAGCACTAAAAACATTAAAAATAAAGTATGTGGGCTATGAATGGTGTCTCTTTTTATTAATTTATATGCCGGGCAGCCTTTATGAGGCACTTGTTCTGATTTTGAGTGTGTCGGTGATGTTTTGAACGTAGAACAAGCATCTTTGCCCAGAGCAGAATGAATAAAGCAGTGCTTACTTATTGAAAATCAAAACATATTACTTGGCCTTCAATTTATTTTGATCATACATGCAAAGGGAGTTACTGATCCAGTGTTACTACGTGGTTCTTGCCATCTCTCTTATGTTTTTTAGATGTTCTTCGTATGGTACGAATATCACCCATGCTAAAAAGCGCAGATGTCGTGTTCGCGCTAGCAGTGTTCGACAGTGCTCATAAATACATGTACAAAACCGTTTTAGCACAGTTTTTAATGCAATAAATTTGAAAGAGAAACGCTGTAACTGACCAATTATTTCGTCTGCCTGACTGAAATGTTCCAAGCTACCTAGTGTTTAAAAAATTATTTGGGATATTTGCACTTATAATCGAGCTCAAGGAGAAAATGCACTCACTTTTTCCCATAAAAATGGAATACTGGAAGTAAATTTTGGACTGATTGCTGCCTACTTTAATTTGCCACAGCCCACTAGCGCGATTTGAACCTCTACCATACATTACAATAACTCTATGCTCTGGAGCCCAATTGCTGTTTGGTTATGGGAGGGACCACCTGTTGCGTAATAAATGAACTGAGCAGACAAGCTGTCTGTGGCATGCTGACAAAGTGACCGCCTCACGTCTTGTTCAATAAGCTACCGGATCGTGGAGAATGAAACATGTTTCTGGTGGATATCTCTGCCAGTTATGTTGCTTGTTTATAAGTCTCTGCACTCAAATATAACCTGAACTACTTTCACCGTTTTTTGCCTTTACTTGCCTAATGTATTGTGAGATTCGTAGCCGGTGACTTGCGTCTGCTTGTGGTTGAGAAAGTGTATCAGAGAATATGTGAGTTTTTAACAGCTGGACAACACAAGCTTCTTTCACAACCAAAGTCAGAAAGAAAAAAACAACAGCATAAAGCATTGCAACTTTTCTCTGTAAAATGTCGCCTTTCTCACCTGGGCCTCAAATCTTATGACACAAACTTGTTTGCCGTACAGATTTTGAAGTCATTATGCTGACTTGTTAGGTGACGTAGGTAACTTGAGGGCTTAAAGCTTGCAGGGAGCTGTTCCAACAAATGTGTTAAGATATTTAAATGTAACTCCTGTGAGAGGATAGGAGTTACAATTCCAGGAGAGATTTTCTTGGTCCACTTCTGGCTTGTGTTTAACCTAACTGCCATTTTTTCTTTGTCTTGTTATTTGGGTTAGGCATGCGCCAGTTCTCCGCACCCCACTGAAAAAAAGAGCTTTGCTTCCAAAGTTTGTTTTCCTGCCGTTCCCATGATTTCGGCAGGAAGGAAACCTTGCCGAAATCACTGTTGTGCATTTGATGTCTACAAAGTTGTCAGTGGCAATGTCTTATGGTTGCCATCTTGTTAGGTTTCAGCTACAGAAGCATGGAAATAGCTTGGTGTCCTTAATTAAAAAGACCAAAAAGGTAGTGCCTTCTTAATTTGGTCAATTTGGTCAACCTCAATAATGAATCCATAAATCACTCTAGCCCTGTGCAAAAGCATTAAGTAGCCGAGGTTGCTCTAGTTTAGGCAGATCATTTCTTACTCATAATCAACATAAAAGTTCATGAACTTCTAACATTACGACCTACTCCCGACAAGTTCCATCGAACTGTGCTTACCTATGTCAATAGATCTAATCAGTATGTCCGTTAAAAATATCACAAGCGCAGTTTTTCTTCTTTTTAATGCACAGCACACTAAGGTGCCTCAATGCCTTGTTGACGGTGATGCCATCCTTTCTAGTATCCAATGCAGACAATATGCGCTCACAAAAAAAAAAAAAAAACAATGGCAGAAAACAAAATGTTGCTGTAGCACAGTTAGCACCCCGAGCACATGCAGGGACACATTCTTTCATGCTGTTCGGAACAAATAATAAAAATAAGCATTCGGAACAAAATGGCCAGATGTCATCACCCTAAGCACAGCGTACATGAAGGCACCCTACAGCACACTAGATCTACAGGTAGAGGACAAGCATGCATTGGGAGGCGTAGCAGGAATAGGCTTCCACGGTTTGAGCAGGTAAAGGTAGGATTTACTAAAAGATTTCCCAAAGCAGTTGCTTTGATTTCACCAAGTATGAGCTCTCCAACTTGGCTTCATTAGTCCCCTCAGGTTTTTTTTTTAACCCTTAAGATTTTATTACAGTGTAAAGAAAGGGCTTTAACCATTTCTATCATGGTCTAACCGGTGCCAACTCATGAATTGATGCACGATCATGAACCGAACACTTCTACCTTTTCCTCATTACTGGTAACGAGGCTTGTAAGCTTCGGCGCTTGGGAGGGACAAATGAAGCTCTCCCTGCCGTTCCATAGGAGGCGCCAGAAGCAGTCGTGGACTAAGGATCCTCGCGAGATAAGAGAGTTTCACCCTTTTTGTGCAGGTCATACAGCACCAGACAATCAAGTACGACGTCCTTCCGCTGTCCCCCCTGTCCAAGCACCGACTCAGTGAGTATTGAAGGGGCTCGGCGGGAGGGTCCTCCAGCCTGTCGCCGAGGGCGTTGCGCCGGCCGCCTTAACGTCTTCCCTGCCCCACGTCTTCGTCTCCGGGGTTAGGTTTGGTCAGGCGGAAGATTCTAGTCCTGGATTTGGACGAGACGTTGATACACTCGCACCATGACGGCGTCATCAGGCAGATGGTCAAGCCTGGGACGCCGCCCGATTTTGTTCTCAAGGTAAGCGCTCTTCCGATCTTATTCTAAGGGAAAACCGTGGCAGATTGTGACTACTTTTGTTTCTTTCCGAGTTGTAACCTTACGGTGGGGCTCCCAAGGTGCCCTCGTAAGGGCCTGGTGATTTTGAGAAGGGCTAAAATAATTAAGACAAATTGGGCTTCGTTTTCATTGCAACATCCCGACAAAGCTGCTGCGAAGACGGTGGATGATGCTCCTCTTCTGTCTTCCGCTTGAATGCTTCTCACTTGAGTATTGGAGTACAACCCTCGCTTTTCTTCATGTTCTTTTCATGCACTGCTTCTCTGCTCCCCCAATATGACAGCTTCAGTGACATATTTTGTTGGCATCCCACTTCTCTGTCATGCCGAGTTGGGGGCAACATTCGTTCACTCATCACTGGCTTTTGTGTTCTGCTTTGTTGATTGTGCCACACCTGCAACATGTCAGAATGGCTTTCAACTATTTCCTCTTCATGTGATGTCACAAAACTGGCTCTGTACTGGTTTTGGCAAGCAGTCTTTGAAAGGATGGCAAAAGTTGGCATGAAATAATATCGTCCGTCATGAAAGAAAGTAACTCTTGGGTTGGTAGTTAAATTCACCTGCTGTAGTGTTAGCCTGTGGCAGCCTAGCAGTCCACAATGCAGTATAGTAAACAATTATGATGACTTTCATATTGGTTTTGTTTGGTTTAGACCTCTCTGCTCTCTTACATCTCTAGGAGAACGATACAAGCATCCTCTTGAGGCCTCGTTCCACTATACTATAGCAGCAAACTGGAAACACTGTTTGCATATATTTCGAAGATACCTCGTTAGCAACTTTTTCTACGCTTAAGCTTCACAAGAGAAATGGGCTTGTGAACAAGCAATACTGCAGAAGATTACTTGGGCGGCCACAAAGCTAAATCTGTTTCTTAAGGGGACAAACATTGGTGCTTATCACGCTAATGGTACAAGGTCATTTGGCACGCTACCAAATGATAGAATGGCCTCGAGTAAGGTAGTACTGGGTGATTTCAGATAAGATCGGCCAAAGGATGGCTAGTCGACATTTTCAAATCAACTGATGTTTTTATATGTTATTGTCTAGTGTCTGGTATGAACGAATCCAAACTTAGTTTTGACTAGAAAAAATACTTGGGGACAGGAAAAATCGTAATGCATGTGGTGGTGGACAGTTGCATTAACGCGCACTGATGGAGGGGGCCCGTTTGAGAGTGAATAACTAAAGCGATAACATTAGGAGAACTCTAATACGTTTTAGGCGCAAACTATGGGTATAGCTTGCTTGTAATATAAAGTAATCATATTTATTTAAAATTTATTTATTTTTCTAAAAATTGACAAACATGCCTGCTCGAACGACAAATGGCAAACTTTGGAGGTCTGTATCTCATGAAATAATTTAATCATTATGATATAATTTGCAGATATTATTCTACTAATATATAGCTAATATTTAAAAAATAACTAAGGTATCTGTGTGATACAATAGTTAGGATATATTTAGTCAAACATGGAAAAAAAATCAAACAAAGAAAAATTCCGATGCAAATAAAAAAAAAACACCACCCTCGATTTTTTTTAAATTTAGGTAACCTGTTATACTCTATTTCGGCATTCATTTCCATTAAAAACATGTTGCATCATTTTATTGAGAAAGAAGATACAACTCCCCAAAGTAGGGTCCTTTTTCAAAGCCTACACTTAGCAGTGTTTTATACAAGAACTGACTCTGAGTTCCAGTTTCATGAAACCAACACACATCTTTTATATATTTTTATTCAGATGAGGCCAATGATCACTAAAGAAATCGTTCACACACTTAAATTAAGGAGAAACTACTGTGTACAAAGAGGTATCATATTACGGACTAGTGATCCGAGAAAAGATCATGCAGCCATCGGCCACTAGGAACTTTGTTTACTTTATTCTCCTGCGACACTATATGCTATTCCCTCTTCCGCTCTACCTTCATCTCTCTCTCTCTCATATATACCCCTGATATATATCCAGAACAAAAACATGTTCAAGCATTCCCTTTCTGCGTGGTAGTGTTCTGTGGCTAGCAAAAATCATTTCCTCGCTAAGCTCACGATTATGGCAAAATAGTTGCCGGAAACCGCAGACGACACTCATCGCTAGTTCTGGCAAAACGGCCGATACAATCTTTTTTTTTGCATTTCCCCGCTCGCTGTCAAGGACAAGGGGGTTCGCTTCAACCAGCAAAACATGGCCGCCGACGCCTGTTTACTGAGCAGTCATGCCTGTCGCCATCTCACTCGCTGTCGTCACGGGCGATAATATCAGGCACAAAGGGGCACACCAACCGGCAGCATTATCCCCAAATACTCGAGCCTCGCGTAAATACATAGAGTGTAAACGCTGTCGCCATGTTATCGTAGTAAGACTGCCCCCCCCCCCCCCCCCCCCCCCCCTCCCCCAACGGGGGACTGCAGTACGCGACGGCGTACTAACACAACGGCGACGATATCGACATCGCGGGCTCCGAATTTTCCCATAGTTCTACTCCACGGGCATTTCTCGAAACGCTTGATATTGTGTACGCCCGCCTGGAAGGATTTCAGGCGCGTAGTTAAGATGAGGCGGTTCTCCGCGGCAAAAGAAAGCAATTTCACAAAAGCTTAAAAGCGGCGGCGACGCGTGTGCGGTGAACGCTTGTAGTTTTGGTGTAGACAGGGTGTGTGTGTTCTCGTTGTTGACACCAGCCGGCGATAAGGCACTGCAGGTGGTAGCTCAGTACAGCAAGGGCTAATCCGAGTGACCATCAACGTAACCCCACCGCCAACCCCTCGCGAACCGGTCGCCGACATGGCTCAGGCTGTGTCATGAACCACGTGGTAGAAGCTCGGGTGCTTTCATATCAGCGCGTGGAGGGACGACAGTGCGATTCCGGAAAGTCTTTTTCGAAGGCCGCTGACCACAATTTTTTGTCTGGAGACTTTCCCTCTTTCTTCCTTTGACGTGGATCAAGCTTTGCCGACAGCCTCAGTTGTGACCTCTCTTTTCAAATGTATGTTTGCAGTGAGTGAGCTCCTCAGCCTCAGACTTGTCACTTGTGCACCCAGTAGTTCTTTCACTTGGCAATTATATGCCATCAGTTGGGGTTTAATTTCTATTATTTATGTATACATTATGAAGACGTCCTGGAGCTCCGAACGAGTGTTTTGTGCAGATTACTTTTGCAAACACAAAAAGACTATACCAAAGCAGCGGAATTTTCGAAGTGTTGGCGAGTTGGACCTAAACTCGTTGAAGCAAATTCTTCCGCCTGACTGTTCCACCAAAGTGAGTGCGACGGACTACCTGTGCTACCATTGCTTCATGCACATCACTAAGGAGATCTCGATGCGAAGCTCAGAGCAGTGCCCTGACATATTTGTGCCAGCTGAAGAAGCAATTGAAGATCTAAATCGCAGCATACTACCTACAGATGTGTCGCCGCTGAGACAACCAAGCGTCGTAAGAAGTCGGGACAGGCCTGCCTATGTCAAGAGAAAGCAGACAGAACTGGAGCAGGTTGCTGTCAAGAATATACGCTCAAGGCTACGTATTGCGTACGACAGGGACGCACCATCGGGGTCGTCCGAACCAACATGCTCCACATGCACTGAGTGGGTGGACAACTTTCGGCAGGCCTTTGAAACCGCCACCTCTCTCCGGAAACGTTGTCAACTGCTTACACTCCTGCCGTCAACACTGACGAAGAATGAGGTTCAAAAGATGATTCCACAGGCCTCAATGTACCTCATCAGTAAATCCCGAAAACTCAAGGAAAAGCATGGCGTGTGGTATGAGCCGGATCCTTACACGAGGTGCAAGGTGAGCCCTGAGAACCTGTCTGCTGCCCTAGAGTACTTCACGAAAGACGAGCTACAATGTTCGCGCCAAAGTCCCAACCAGAAGGACGTCATCTCTGTCATGCTCAACGGAGAGAAAACGTTCGTGCCAAAGCGCTTCATGACACGCTCAATACGAGAGGCCTTCCGTATATACAAAGACAAGCATCCCGATTCCGGCGTTGGGCTAACGAAATTTTATTCGTTGCGCCCTAGATGGGTCCAATGTATTCCACACCAGGAAGTGTGCGTTTGTGTGCGCTGCGCCAATTATTATCTTTGTATTGCCGCTCTAGAGAACGTTACAGGCTCAACATTCAACACTGGTGAAATGAACTCGGCATGTCTGTGCGACCCAGCAACAGAACTGTGCCTTCAAGGAGACTGTGATCACTGCCCAAAAGGCCAGTTTCTTACACTCCAGGAACTTGATATCCCGGAGGATAAAGAGATTGTGCTTGCAACATGGGAGTCCGGCGACCTTGTGAAAAAAAACTTTGGAACCTGAGACTTTCCTAAAAGTCATCCAAGTGACGGTTGGAAGTTGGGTACTTCACAACCATATCCGGCAAACGCAAGGTAAAGCGATCTACGATGAAAAACAGTGCATGCAACGCGGGAGCATTGTCTTTCATTTTGACTTTGCTGAAAACTGGACCATCGTGCTTCCTGACGAAGTGCAAGCATATCACTGGAAAAAAAAAACAAGTTTCGATATTTACATGTGTAGTGACGACAAGAAAATCTACAAACAGCTTTACCATCATCAGTGAGGACCTGTGTCACGATGCCGCTCACGCTTGCTTGGCTCTAGAAAAAGTGAAGGAGTGGGTTGAAGACAACGTTGCGGTATACTCGTACGTGACGTACGTAAGTGACGGCGCCGCCAGTCATTTCAAGAATCGCTACCAGCTTCACCAATTTGCAAAGGACGATTGCCCACAAGCCCAGTGGTTATTTTCTGCATCTGGACATGGGAAAAATGCATGTGACGGAGTTGGCGGACTCGTGAAGCACCAGGCCACGCTGAACAACCTGAGAGAATGTTCAGTAAGCGCAATTCAGACGGCCAGGACAATGGTGAGCGTTCTATCAAAGAAACTGAAAGGCGTGCATCTTGTATATCTGGACGAAAATGA